AAGTCTTCAAGACTATCAAAAGGTTTATTTTTCAGGTCAGACAGAAAATTTGTTTCATTAAAGTTCTTGAAATCACGGTATTTAATTTTTATGTGCTTGTTTCTACGTTACAAGCAATTAGGTTTCCGTTTTGCATAAATAGGGTAATGTTCAGATAATGATATTGGGGGTACACTAACTTCACATATGTTATCTGATGGGGTGGTATAAAAGTGATCAATTAGAGAACAAGAGGTTTTAGTAACTGTAGTTGGTGCATTAATTACCTGTGTTAGTCCAAATTCCTCTAAAGCAGATGACCAGCATAGCAGGGGGTCATTTAGTAAGTCAATATTAAAGTCACCTGTAATAATAACTTTACTGTCGTCACAGCAGAAGGCTATATTTATCTCCCTAGCGAAATCCTCTACCCAGCAAGAGGGGGCAGATGGTGGGCGGCATACAGAGCAATAAAAAATAGGTTTTGAATTCTTAAGATAGATTTCTAGGCATATTGATTCAATATTACTTACTTCAAATTCAGTTTTAAGCTTGTAAGTAATATCATTTGAAATATAAACAACAATTCCCCCGCCTGAATTAAATTGTCTATCCTTTCTTTCAAAAGCAAATCCATTAATATCTTAACCTGAATCACAGTGATTATCATTTAAGAATGTTTCACAGATTCAAAAAATGTCAAGTGGACATTTGTCTTGTGGCAACAGTTTAATTTCGTCAATTTTTGGTGTTAGATGACATACATTTAAATTTCCAAAACCTTAACCTCTTTTAACCAGTCGAAATCCAGTAAAATTACTTTGAGTGCATGACTTTTCGGAGACTTTTTGGATTTTTTTTTTCTCATTTAAATTTTTCTGAGGACTTATCTGTGCGACTATTTCAGCAAAGTTACTTTTTATGAATGTTAATATTAATTGATACATTTTTGTTTCGAGAATATGAACACTTTTTGAGAATTTTATGTGTATACAAGTAGTGTTCACATGTGCAATAAAATTTTTTTACATGCATTCATCACACAAATTATTTAAAACTGAGTAAATATTGTTATTTCCAGGGGACAAAAAGTTATTTTAGACAATAAGTTCGGCATCTTCGCGGTTTTGTTCTAAGGCATTTTTTTCATTGCCGATTTCCTAGAGGGAGCAGAATTTTTGCTTATGCCCTATTTTCGCACATTGCCAACACGAAACTTTTTTCCCATTTCGAAATGTCCGAGTAGAATGGCCCTCTTCTTCACAATAGGAACACATATAATTCCTCATAGCACATGATTCGACACGGATACTGTATTCCTTTTGTTTAAGAATGGGAACGGACTTGTTGAAGTTCTTTAATAATTCAGCTGTGCCTTTATCAGACAAGTGAATGCCGTCTTTCCAGATCATTTGCCTGATTTCTTTGGAACGATTTGCTCATCAGGATAAGAGTAGCTCCGTACTCTTTGCACACATATCTTATAATTTCATTCACTACACTCACATTTACATCTCTTCGCGGTAAAACTTCAGAGAGATACACTTGGGTTCCCAGATGCCGTTTCCGTAGATCACAGATCATTTCCACGAAGTCGTTTTCAGTTGATTCCGTGTCGAGGTTTGCTTGATACATCATTCCCACCTTCCTGAATGACAATATTACGGAAGGGCGATACATCCATTTTTGCCAATTTTGCTTTGAAACACGAGACTTTGGCTCCTCTTACTATTGGCTTTCAAAACCCTTGCCCGTATGGAAATCCCTTCTCTCTCTTTGTATCCTACAGCATTTTCACAGTAATCTACGGTATATCTACAGTATGCTACAGTATGCCAGCTCTGTGTATACAGCAAATCTCTATATGCCACTGTATGTATCCCCAGCATGCCACAGTTACATACAGTAAGCTCCGATACGCCTACAATATGCCACTGTATGGCTACAGTTGCCTACAGACAACTACGGTAAACCCCAGTATATGCCCCAGTACGCTCCTGTATATAGTTATTGAAGCAAAAAGAAGAAGTTTACACACTCCAAGAGCAATGACCGGTTACCTAAGATGTGGGATTACTAATTTAGTACACATAGTTGCTACCCAAGAAATTTTTGTACAATATTTCAAACACATAGTAGTTTTTTGTTTAATTTGTTAGGAGACTTTTTGAGTTCTGTCATAACTCTGAAATAACTCTGAAAAATTAATAAATCATTACTTCAAAAACATTTATCTATCTATTTTTTTCATAAATTATTTAATTAATTTTTTAATTAATTAAGGTCTTCCGTCTTCAGCGGGAGACCTTCTTGTTATTCTTCGGTTTCTTTTTCACTTTTTTTCTTACCTATTATTATTCTTTTTTTTCTTACATATTTTGTGCACGCGATTTCTCGAAAACGGCTCGATGGATTTTTATGAAACTTTCAGGACTCATGTAACATAACTTGATCTTGATTCATTTTTTTCCGATTTTATGACGTCACTTCCGGTCCGGAAATATTGGCGATTTAATGATTTTTGATGGGTCAGATTGTCCGCGAACGTTCTAAAAATGGCTATTGATAGAAACGTGTAAATTTCAGTTTTGATAGTCCTAAGTCTATAGATGTGCAAAATGTATTTCATTTTTATCGGAAGTGCCGCATGTTGGCGCTCGCTAGGGCCCGAAAATTGTCATATCGAGAATTTCAAAATTTTGAAGACCTTTTCTACGATATCTTTTTACCTGGAAATATTTTGATAAAGCATATAGAACAAAATAGGTGTAAAATTCCATGATCTTTTGAATGATATCTCGAAAAAAGGGCTGGCCCCTAAAATTAGAGTCTAGAGGGGCCGAACGTTTTTCCTTTATATCTCAAAAAGTATTGAAAATTTGTAATACGTCAAAGAAGCAAAGTTGTTCAAAACGTCAAGCTTAATCTACAGGCGACGTCAAAATACGTCCGACGACGTCACTTCCGGCCAAACCGGAAGTACTCGGAAAACGCGTATTTTGGCCATTCTTGACAAGTTTTTGGTATCTTATGTCACTGGGAACATAAAAATTAATTTTCCGTCCGTCGTCGGCACTTCCGGTCAAACCGGAAGTGACAAAAAATGGCTTATTTTTGCATTAATTCACATAGATTTTGAGGATTCAACCAATTTTTGGACGTTATTTCTCATTTTCGTTAAAAATGTAAACTACTTCCGGTCAAACAGGACGGAAGACCTACTCGTTGCTTTGCAATGAGCTTTGCTCTAGTTTATTATTATTATTATTTGGAAACACCAGTTTATTCCATAATATACTTGGAATGACTTTGTACCTTTTGTGGGAAAAAAACATGCCGGGGTAATGCTACATTTTGGAAAATTCTTGTTTTTTTTTTTTTATTTATTGATGCTCTTTTTAAAAAAATTAATCTTATTAATTGCATGTTTCATTGCAAAAAAATCTTTTGTTTCTTATTTCTAAATTGAATATACAAACATAATTATTAATTGTATACCCGATAGTTGGATTTATTTGGCTTATTTTACGCTAAAATGTGTCTCAAAGTCTATTTGAAGCATATCTAAACTATTTTTAATCATTTTACTTCCGTGTTGGATATCAACAACATGCTACTAGTGCTGTTAGAGTATTTGTTTTTTTATGACATGAAGGAATGTATGCAGCCACGAGTTTGTCGACGATCCTTGAAAGTGAAGGATGCTGGTGCCAGAATAGAGTGTGGCTGTCACAGTATTACACTCAAACTGGAAAACCTGACCATTCTTCCCTACTTCTTTAATTGCTTTAAGTTCTTCTTCCAAATAGCTCAAAATAGTGGTATATTTGTCTTGAAATAGTTATGCTGTATTTGCTAAAAGTCACTTTCAAAATCTTGGTATACTAGTATGTACTCACTCAATTAGGTGTGATAATTCCAGTTTCACTAAATGATTGTGAAAGTCCAGAAAAAGATGTAAATAAGCTCGAGTTAATACTTTCATCCATAATTATTTTGAGATTCGTCAGGTATTTAGCCATTGAACCCACAGCATTATCACTCATAGCAATTAAGTACAGGTAATCAGGAGCAATAAAAAACACGTCTTATCAGTTCGGTTGCTACTAAGTAGCAATGGAGCTCCACAAGGACAAGGAATATAGAGAATATCGCTTAAACCATGAGCGTATTCGTGATATATATCAACAGTGCAAGGGCATAGATTATTTTGTTTGAGCTGAAAATTGGAATATTTATTGCTTATATAGTGTATATTTTGAAAAAGTGCTGGGAGCTGATCCTGGTCTGCATAACTTTATTTTTAATTTAAGCGAAGTGGAAATTTTTTGCTATTATAAGCATTTTCGGAAAAAAATTCAGAACTTCTCAAACAGCACTGACTAGCACCCAGCACTTTTTGGGTAGAGGAAATAAGCATCTTTTAATGAGTATCAATTTTTTTCTTGATAAACAAGCGTATGCCTTTGCGCTATCCCCATTTCCTACATTCAGCTTAACAGTTCTACTTTCATACAAGTCACATGACAAACATCTGATACGTGCAATATAACTACTATTAACTATGGCCCAGTCTTCTCAATTATTGATAGCTATATTACATTTTCTAAAAGCATTCAGTTGCTTTGTTACAATTTTTCAAAAGAAGTAAAACATATCAATATGATTAAAATGGTGCAAATGTCATACATTCCATTGCTGAGTATACTTCACATGTTTATTTATGCTGACAAGAACTTTTTTAACTTTGACCTTAGAGCTTGAGTCGTTTTTGAACTCATCTTAACAGTGGCAAAACCTTATGAACAATTAGAACTATGGTTTCATGTTTCACAAATGTATTTCTTTTGACGAGACCTTCTTTGTTTACCACAATTTTGACCTTTTCATTTGACCTTTGGTGTTTGAGGTGCATTTGAAAAAAAAAATTCAACCCTGCCAAACATGGGCATTAGTGTTCCACACACTGATCGTGTTTTATTTATTTTATTATATTTCTCTTTTTTTCATTTCAGGTACATATGGATAGCTATTGTAAAATTATGTTTCACAAGTGCGATACCTACTGGCCTTCCGTTCCTTGCACATACTTACGTAAGAAACTCACATCTTTCTTTATGGGCATACCATTGTTATATAATTAAGGACTTATCAAAATTTGCATCATTTTATAAATGAGCATTTGTTTGAAAGACCTATTGATCGACATGCTCAATTGCTTTATCATTTTGTGTGCTCAGAGTGCAGCACGTAATGGTATATTATGATTTTATACTTTTCATGGGAAGAAATTTCAAAATATAGAACCATAACTTTATTTATAGGAAAAACCATGTGGAATGCTGAATATTAATGATGAATTTTTCAAGCTCCAGTGGTATTTAGTAAGTACAAAAATTTTGATTTCTTTTAAACCTGCATTTTCCTCAGACATATGCGATATATCGTTGTTTAGTGTATCCTGTGAGTCAAAAACAACAGCACCGTTTGAAAACACGTGAGCAGGAGAAAAGTTGTTTAAATTTAAGGATAATTGATTTAGATAGTTCCGCATTTATGTTTCATAAAAAAGAATGTTTCCACTTAAGCATAGTGCCGTGGCCCCTTTTTCGGACCCCTCTAACTTTATCTAATTAACTCAAATCTAATTTTACACCTAACCGATATTTTGTTATAAGTGTGGTCATTACTTGCAAAATTTTTAATTGAAAAAGGCGCTTTAGTTTTATTTTAGGCCCTCTAGTGGATGTTAGTCACATTAATATTCAGAGTAGGCGGAGCATTTTATCGATCGATTGAAAACATGTAATCTATATTCACCCAGTTATAATGGCTACAAAATAATACAGAAAAGTAAATACAAAGGACTTTTCAAGATTTACGCCAGTTCTTGTTGTTGTTTTTTTTTGGGGGGTGAGGGGGGTCAATGACATGTAAATACCCGTAAATAGCGAAAAAAAAAACTGTCGGCATTTTGTACCTTTTTTTAAAAAACTTTACCCCGAGCGCAGGCTTGCCAAAAATCCTCCTTTAAATATGTTGTATTTTCAACAGTTCTACACTTTCTGTCCTCTTGAGAAATTTGGGCAAGAATGCGCTCACCATGTATTCCAGCTTTAAAGATCGGAATAACTTTGAATAACAATGGAAATTCATGGATTGCAGTAGCCCCTCTTACAAAATACAGCCTCGTTCCTTATTTTTACTAACATTTAATTCCTGTAATTTTGCAAAGTTGCGATTAAGACCTAGAAGAATTGCTTCATCAATCTCATTAGGCTTCTTTCTATACTTTCTTAAAGCACAATTTACCGGGGGCCACTATTTGTACACTAAGTGTAGTCATTCTTTCTTCAATTTCTGTGTATTTCAGAAGACTGTACCTAAAATCCTTGATTTCGTATGTTATTCACTTTGATTGTATCTAGCTTTTTTTCTCTCTCATATTGTTATATTTTGTGCATTTTTATCAAGAACACATTTAAATAATTCATAAAAGTTTCATTTGAATCATGTATTTAGAGGATTTGGTTATAACATGACTTGAAGTCTTGAAGGATGTTATTTTTGTAATTCTTTTTAAAAACCCGATATTGAATTTTGTGTGATTTTTTTTTTCAACATGCAGTTGTCTTTTTAGTAGCACGTATTGGGTAGTGTTGAATAACAGAAATGAAGCAAACATTATTTTCACAAATGATTTCTGATAAATTTGTATAAGATAAAAGTGCATGAGGAATTAGTTACTCTGGTTGGTGCTGTAATTAATTGGGAAACCCCACACTATTTCAAAGCATATGTCCAACTCGGGGGGTTTCTTTGAATAAGTCTACATTGAAGTGACAGGTCATGATGTTTGCAACGTCACAGTAGGAGACACAGATATTCTCAAACTAAACCAATTCTGCATGGCATATTCTTGATATTATATGGTACTTGTAAAGTGCGAAACGAAGCGAACCGAACCGAAAAGAAATCTACCGAAACAGAAGGAAACAAAATTATCAAAATGTTTGTTTTTTGGTTTCAAATCAAGGTTGATTATTAGAATATATATGTCTAACTATATGTGGATTTTTTCTACTTCATGTAAAATAAATATAATTCAAGAACTTGTAAATATAAAATTTAAATACATGTATGAACTGCCGCCTGATGCAAATATGTACGGGCATACTATATGCAAGTGTAATGGTTTCTTTTCTTTCAGACAAATATTGTTTTGAATTCGTTTGGCTTTTTTGTCTTGATTTTGTTTCGTTCCGGTAGCTTTCCTTACCTTTCGGCATATATTTCGTTTCCTTTCGGTAGATTTCGTTTAGTCCCAGATTTTTTTTTCCTTTCTTTACTTTACAGGTACGTGAATATGTTACCCTCTTGATATGAAAACTTTGAATATTTTATCTGGGTTGAGAATTTAAAGTATTTGTTGAAGTAATTATCCATTTACAAGTTTTTACAACAAGAGAGGAATATTCACATTTTTTGCATGGACAGTGGATATTACTACATTCTGATCTACATACGCTCTGCCAGAAAACTGAACATATTCCTCCCTGTTTTCATCTCTAAATAACTTTTTTAAAATACATAAAATTTATCAGATTTTGCAACCAAAAAAAAAAAAAACCAGAAAACTGAATATTTAGTCTGGTCCGATTCATACTTCTAACCTCAAATAATTATTATTTGGTCAAGCATAGTTCTTTAACATATTTTGAGTATGCTAAATCCGAAAAAAATATGCTGGCCTTCATGAAAATGGCGTTAATGAGGTCAAAATGGCGATTCAAAATGGCGGTCATAATTTTTTTTTCTAATTTTCTCTTAATATCGTTCAAAAAGGAGAAATAATGTGTGGATATCTCACTGAGTGTAATGCAAGTATAAAAATGATAATAGAAAGCTAACATTATTAGTTTAACTCAGAAAATTTAGTCGTTTCTACACTTAATTCAAATTTTCTCTGTTTTTTTTCTATTGTTCTATATTCTTCTTTGTTCAGGATTTTACATTTGCAAATATCCATACACTGCAGATTTGCATTTTTTCCTCTGAATCTCACTATTCTACAACTGAATGATGGTGCAGCTGTAAATTAAAAGTCAAAAATGGCGATTCAAAATGGCGATTATTCATCTTTTTTCAAATTATTTCTTAATGCCTTTTACATAGGTGAAAGGATCTCTGAATATCTTATTGAGCGTAATGCAAGTATAAAAATGATAATAGAAAGCTAACATTATTAGTTTAACTCAGAAAATTTAGTCATAATTGCAAATTGCCAACAAAACACTAATTAATTTGATCACTTTAAATCGGAAATTTAAGTCGTTTAGATTTAAAATGTGTTAATTAGCTCACAGTGGCTATTCAAAATGACGTCTTGTACACTCGAATTTCGTAGAAACTGCTTAATTCTAAGTCGTTTAGCAGAGAATAAATTTCAGTTTGTTATATATATATATATATATATATATATATAAAGCACTAAAAAAACAACAACACTGTATATCCTAAATGTCGGATCTACCAAGTAGATACAAGGTCACGGATGGAAATTTATATAAAGCACTAAAAATGACCAACGACACGAACAATAAAAATTGTCAAATTTTCGGGACGCCCTGTCCCTTCCTCAGGACAAAGAAAAAAGTTAAAAAGTCATAAGAACAAAGGAAAAAGAGATACAAAAACAACTAGCACTACTACTAAACTACTAAACACTAGATATTTACATACTTAATTACATGTTGAGTTGGAAATTTTAAAAAACACTAATAAAGAAAGAAATTCGGACCGCTATGAAATGCGTCCGGTCTATCGGGTATACTCGGGTGAAGTGCGATTTACATAATTGAACGAATTAATTATGCTAATTAATTACGACAATCAGTAAATCGTACGTTATTTCATTCTCTCAAAATGGCGTAACTTTACTTAATAAAGAATAATGAAAGAAAAATCATATAGTAGGAATATTTAAACATATGAATTGTGATCAATTACAAATTTTGAAATATTTAAGGACTTATTATCGGGAAAAAATAATTAACAAAGGCGTAAGCAATACTGAGTTATGTGGTTGTTCGAGTTCGAGAGTTGGTGGCACAAATTAACTGTAGAGTTTACACTAAATTGAGAGAATAATTTTGTTTAGTATGATCAGGAATTGGGTCTAATTTACGTTCATTCTGGTGAAGTCATTCAATTTGTTAATACCATTTGGGCGGAATGACTTCAATCTGTGCATCCAGAACTTTTCTTTGCTTTTCCTCTGAGCATCTGTCCATCTTGGGTTATGGTCAATCACCACTACTGTCATGTCCTCCCATTTGTGACCCTCAAGGTTGAAATGTTCCCCAACGGGTTCATTGAGTTTTTTGGTCCTAATGGTCGAACGGTGGTTATTGACTCTCCTACGGAGATCTCCTGTTTCACCAACATACTGTTTGGAGCAAACTTTGCAAGTGATGAGATAAATGCAGTTGTCAGTATGACAGGACAAATTCCCTAGTATTTTGTAGCTGCGGCCTGTAACAGGGCTGTTAAACTGTCTGTGCCAGTGCTGTGCTTACAAAGAAGACATCTCCTGTCAGAGCAAGTTTGAAAGCCCCCGTTAGGTAATGGGTTGTCCAGTCTGGTTCTTACTACCATGTCCTTTAGATTCCTTGGGCGTCTGTATGCAGCCAATGGGGGTTCCTTAAAGACCTCTGCCATTCGTTTGTTTGAATGGAGAATTGGTAGGTTCTTTTGAAGGATACCGCTAAGGTTCTTAAGGACGGGATGGTATGTGGTTACCAGAGGGACCCTGTCGCTATTGTCTTTTTCCTTGTAGCGTAATAGGTTTTGTCTGTCATGTTCCGCCATCTCATCAATAGCTGTTTGTACGGTGCGGGCATTGTAGCCTCTTTTGCATAAGTGGGACTTAAGAAGATCACTTTGCTCCTGATATAAGGCAGGGGACGAACAGATGCGTCGAATTCTGGTGGCTAGACCCTTAGGCACTCCCTTAAAAGTGTGTGGGGGATGACAGCTAGTGGGCATAAGATATAGGTGGGAGTCTGTGGGTTTGGTGTGGAGACTGAATTCGATTTCACCATCAATCAGGGTAGATGTAGTATCTAGGAATACGTTTTTCGAATTAGATACGTCTACTGTAAATTTGATCGACTGATGAAAGGTGTTGGCAAACGTAATGAATGCCTCGAGGTTCTTGCGACAATCCACCCACTTCATCTCTATATCGTCAATGAAACGCAACCAGCTATGAGGCCTAAATGGTGCTTGAAGTACAAGATGCGTTCCAGTCTGCCCATGAAGACATTGGCATAAGACGGTGCCATTTTCGTACCCATAGCAGTGCCATTAACTTGCAGGTAAT